TTGAAATTTTTATTACATATATGTTATAAACTAGCAAATACAATTATACATTATATCTGTAATAAATAATTGTGTGCAAGAGTTAAGAACGTATATATATATATATTTTTAGTATATAATAAAAAAATACACACGTATTGAGAATGAATTATATGATGCTTAACGATGCTTAACGAAAATTTGTTCAACTTTTTTTGTTTTATCATTTTGTGAATTGTTATTTTATTTTTCATTCTTTATTAATTTACCGTCAGCAATGCTGTGATATTTTACATTTGCTAGTAATCGATCAGAAATAATTAGTAGATTGGAAATATATTCATTATAATTGCAAATAAGATGATTAATTTGAGGTACGATGTTTAATTTTACGATGTTAAAGAAGGAAGCACGTAAATTTGCATTAATGTTCATTTAATTGGAATAAAAATAAAAAAAAAATGAATAAATGTGAATAATAAAAACGCGAACTAATCCACAAAATATTTCACATACTTATATCTGTTAGATTATTTTAAGATATCTGTTATTTAAACTAAATGTAATCTTATAAATAATAAATGGTTTATAATATTTTCCATAATGTTTAATACAATTTTTTGTCTTTTCTTTTTTAAGTGCAATTAAAACATCATTTACTTATTTCTGTTTACTCTGTTTATTTTGTAAAAATCTGTCGATGTGTGTGTATCTATTTTATAGATATATAAATTCAGTTGCTTGGAAACTAAAAAGCAAAACATTACTGTTCTGTGAGAGTGAAGTCTTTAACTTAATAGTTCAATGTCTCATGCGTTATTTTTTACTTCTTTTTCTTTAAAAAAAAAAAAAAAACTTGTTAACATATATTCTTCTCCATATGATATCTTGTCTTATTTATATCGTTACGAAAAGAATGTATTAATTAATATAATTATTGTGAACGATACATCAATCATTATCGGGACACTTGTTTTAAGTGTTTTTAAAAGAGGTAGTTTTATTGGCGAAATTGAAGAAGAATAAATAAAAATGGTGAAGATCTATATTTATATATAAATTATTTATGTTGTTAAAAGTAATTTTTGTTGAATTTTTGTAAAATTTGTAAAATATTTTTGAAAACAGGGACCAAAGAAAGCTAAGGGTAAATCAGTAGATACCGTTGACGGAGTGGACACGACAAAAATGAACAGAGAACAGCTCGAGATCTATTCTCATAAGATTTTGGAAGAATTGGAACGTGAAAGGGAGGAAAGAAATTTTTTTCAATTAGAAAGAGACAAATTACGTACTTTTTGGGAAATTTCGAGGCATCAATTGGACGAAGCACGCGCCATTGTAAGGTATACGAAATTTTTATTTATACTACTAACATTTTCATATTAATAAACGATAGAAAAAAAAGGAAAATACCTTTTATAAATTATTAAATCATGGGGACATTAAAACATTTATTTTATATTTTATTATTTTTTTGGTAAATACGTTGCAAATAATGATTGCATTCTAGCAAATTGTACACACAATAGTGAAGTATGTAATTATTTATTTGTTTAGGAACAAAGAACGAGAGAAGGAAGAACTAGAGGAAAAGCACGAAGCAGAAATGAAATTGTACAAACAAAAAGTTAAGCACTTGATGTACGAACACCAAACTAATTTGTCCGAAACAAAGGCGGACCATTTGGTTGCTCTTAAAATGGCGCAAGATGATCACGTATCTCAAGAGAACGAGTTCATTAGAGATAAAAAGGAGTTAAAGAAAGCACAAAAGGAACTGGAAATGACTCGTTTGAATGAAATTCATGAATTGAAACTTGTAAGATAATGATCATGACACGAGTGTGTTTTATTTTTTCAATTTATACCACGTAAATTATAATATATCTTTAATATATATATATATATATAAGGTTTTTTTTCCTAATTACATCTAATTATTTTATGTTGGAAAATACTACATTGAATTCATTGTTGCGAATATGAATTGTTCCATTTTAACAGCACCATGCTGAAGAAATAAGTGACATAAGAAAAAAATTTGAATCAGAAGCGATAGAATTGGAGCAAAAATACGAGCAGAAATTAACGAGTCAGTACGAATCGTTGATGTCAAAACATCAAATGGAAATTACCGAAATAGAGGAAAGAAAAAATTTGCACATTTTAACTTTAATTAAAAATCATGAAAGTGCATTTACGGAGATGAAAACTTATTACAATGACATTACTCTGAATAACTTGTCGCTTATTCAAAGTATGAAGGTACACACATGTATATATTATAAATATATAAAATATAGAAAAAAAAGACAAAATAAATCTGGATTTAAAATTGTTCTTTTTTTATGGAGGAACAAATGGAAGTAATGAAAAACAACGAGGATAGAATGAAGAAACAAGTACGCGAATTAACGATGGAAAATAAACAGTATTCTACGGAATTAAATACTTTGCGAGAAAAAGTAGCCGACTATACACGACAACTGGTTAATTATGAGAAAGATAAGCAATGCTTATCCGTAAGTAAATATAAGTCCTGGGGTGTGTGTCTATCCGTCCAAAAATTCAATTGCTTCCCTTTCAAACGTTAAACCTATATACCTTTTTTTCTTTTTTCTTTCTCCACTTTTCCCAAGCAGGGATTACTGATGGTGGTATTCTTAAACGCGGGCTTTATTAATATTATTTTAGCACACAAAGAGAAGACTGTCATTGGTTCTGAAGGATTACGACAATTTAAAATGGGAGAACGAAGTATTGGAATTACGTTTTGACAAAGTACACAACGTTTAACAAACATTTGTATTAATATTTTAATACGATCTTATCTAAAGAAAATAATCATTTCTAGTGTCAATCGGAAAGAGACGAACTTTATTCTAGATTTGTATCAGCTATATTGGAATTGCAACAAAAGACTGGTCTAAAAAATGTACTATTAGAGAAAAAGTTAGAAAAGTTATCGGAATTGTTGGAACAACGCGAAGTACAAATTAGCGAAGTTTTGGCTGCTGCTAATATAGATCCCACAGCCGTCGTTAATGTAAATACGAAATTGGAGGTAATGCATACAAAAGAATGTTTAATTATAAGTAACAAAAGAATGTTTGTTACTATATTTTTGTAATCATTGAATTTTGTTCACGCTACTTTTGTAATTGATATAATTTCATGAAACGATATAATCTTACTTTTCCAAATTTAACAGGACATGTTGAATAGAAAAAATACAGCGATACAAGATCTCCAGTATGAATTAGCTAAAGCTTGTAAAGCACACGACGATTTATTATCGGTATACGAAAGTAAATTGCAAGAGTACGGAATACCGAAATCCGAAATTGCATTTCAACCGTTAAGGGCCAAAATGGTTAATACGTGGACAGGGTCGGGACATGTTGTGGCGAGTTACGTTACGACGAATCGATAGATATAGAAATATATGAGAGAATTAGTTAAATGAATCAATTTATCTTTAAATTTCTGTTTTTATTCCTTATCTTCTTCCTACATGCAATGTGTGTGTGTGTGTGTGTGTGTGTGTGTGTGTGTGTGTGTGTGTAAGTAAAGAAGATACGAAGATCTTACTGGTCATCATTTACATATACATTTGTAATTTTTCTTTTTATATATCTAACAAAAAACAAACAAAAAGTAAAAGAAAAATGTTGAATAAAGAAGCTAAAAGAACTATTGTGTGAATTAAAAGAAATGAAAATGTCAGATCGATGGGATAATTGTTTAATTTTTGACTTATATATTATTCCTTTCTTCGATCTATCAATGGAGACAAATGTGTTTAATGATCTTTTCTAGTAATCATTATCATAATTATCATAATCATTATTATATCTGTATGTATTTTATCCGGACTTTATGCAAATTAATAAAAAATCGTCTAGATCGGACGAATAGATAGACGGATCAGATGTCACAATTTGTCATTAAAATAATATCTAATTATTATGTGTCAACTCAATAAATACGTTTTATTAAAAGTACTTGGTTTGAATTATTGATGCAAACTGGAAACACTTGTGAATACATTATCCTTCTTTTATATATATATATA